CCCTCTCCTCCCCAGAAAGGTCTGGGTTAGGTACTTTGATATTATATCCCAAAACACCACATCAAATCATTTACTTGCTTATCAAATACAGAGCTGTGCATAAGACAAAAGAGATCACAGAAACAAAGGAAGTGTTGGCAGAAAAAAACGTTACTCCTTTATTAAGTCATGGAATGAATTTATATGGAAAAAAAGACAAACCCAAACTTTTCAGGACCTGATGAGAAGACACTGGAAAATACTTTTTCTTCATAAATTACTGTTTCGTTGAAATGGAAACATTTCAAGCTTGATGAAATTTTTGACAGACTGGAGTTTTGTCCATTCTCTGGCTAATTCCAAGGAGGCTAATGGAAGCAGAAACAGCCCAAGCCACAAGCTTGACCTTTCAGGAAGTCTAATGAATGCTGGCCATTAAGGATGCTCTAAACCAACACATAATAGCAAGCTGCTTATTCCTAACAGCCAAACATCACTCAGAAGCACTCTGAGGGATGAGCAATTCTGTTCTAACGATGAAAGGTAATGTCATGTCCCATAAATATATGGAAGACAGACTTCCTCCTGAAACCTTCTCAGGAATAGCAATATTTATTACAGCATTTTCTATCTAAGGGGGCTTGTAGCCCTGTGCTTACAACCTGATTTACATACCATTTACATACCATGCACACAGCTTGTGCTGGAACACAGGAGCTACATGAAATGCCACAACATCATTTTTTTTTTTTTTTTACTGTTTGGTTTTGGTAAAGCTGCTCTGTTAATTGTAACACACAGGCTGTCAGTGTATTTACACAGCCATACAGGATTTCCTTCCTAGCTGTATCTCACAGGGAAGCAACCACACGTTCTGCTAACCACCCATCTTTAGCTAGCTTGTTTATTATAGCTGGAATAAGGTCTGTTTTTTCAAACACCCTCACTGTTACTCAAATGTCTTCTCCACATTTTTCACTTGGTTCCCATCACAGCCTAAACAGGGCTTGATAATTACCACTGCCTTTGCAGAGAGCCAGACAGATGGATAGGCATCAGGTCAGGAGCTCAGACTGCATTGGTATTGTCAGACAAGATGTGCACTCTAGTCAACCTGCTCCCTCGGTACTTTCAGGTTCTTAAAAGACCAGAGTGCTTTTCTCCCATATAAAGTACCAAAGGAATGGATGGGCGATTTTAAAGACTTGGGAGACCTAAACTTCTACAGAACACCTACTTCAGTTTTTCCCAGCACACCTTGAGGAAACAGATGTGGTTCAGCTTCTGAACAAGTATCTACAGAGAGGTGCAATAAAAATGTGCTAATTGCTACAGAAACCTGACAGAAAAGGCATTTACTGTGCTGAGAGAACAGGGTGATGCATTGAAGTCAAACATGATATGTAATAAATATATTTCTAGAGGTCATAAAATTCATCCTCATCCTCCTCAACACAGGACTATTGCCAGCAACACACGGGGTCAGCAGGGACCTCATCTAGCCAAGTCCTAAAACTCAGGATGACAGAGCACACCATCTCTGCACATTGCATTCCTGTGCAGCAGAAACATCTATGCAAAAAGGTTTTTCCAAATCACTGGTCTGAACCTGCCAAGCCCCAGTCCATGACTCTTGCCTCTCTTGCCATCTGCCACAAGCAGAGAAGAGTCTGACTTCTTTGTCCCACAATCCTTTCAGGAAGCTGGAATGGGTTTACATAAAAACTGATGCTAATGAAGGTGCACAAACCTCAAAGAGATTTATCTGCTAACTGAAAACAAACCTTTTCTTCTTTCCAGAATAAATTTATCATAACTCTTCTTTACTCCAGTACAGCATGTAACCCTGGTCTTCAGCCCAAGACTCCAAGGACATATTTCACTATAACAGAAGCATTCAAGAGAAGAATACATCCCATCTCCAGCTTCCTAAATCTTTGCAAAAGCTTTCAGATAGAGTAAGAAGACTTTAATATTTTCTCATCATCGCGTGCTTCCAAGCAATCCTACCCTACTGTCTTCTCCAGCTTCACAGTGGAGGGTTTCAGCTTGCCCAGCAGTGCCATTTCCACATGCAGCAGCACCTCAGCAACAGGAAATAACAAAGCAAACCAAATCATATCTGATCAGAACAGCAGTGAAGTTTCTATCTTATGTGTGCAGATTTGCTTGACTCACATGGATAAATGGCCATCTATTAGGTTGTCACCTAGATGAATGTTGACATCCTGGGCAGTCTACTTGTTATTTATCAAAATGAAGTGCTCTCAATTTAATGGCACATGAATAAGTTTTCAGAAGAGAAAGAAGTTCCCAAGAAAAGCAAAATCAGAGCAGACCTGGTTAGCTTTTACCACCATGGGGTGGTTTTCCTATTAGTCATTTGGTATGCAGGTTTCATATCTTCACAGGGTAATTTCAATGATTCAAATGCATCCCCCATGAACTCTGTATCAGAGTAGCTTGTGCAGTTCCTGAGCTCATAAGAATGACCTCAGCAGACAAATCTCTTGATGATATTGTAATCTGAGCTAACTTCCTATGCACATACACGCTCTAACCAGCACATACTTGAAAGCATATATAGTGATGAACAAAACTATACCTTGCCATATATAGCTCTCTGAACAGCTTTTGGATCTAACATGCTAAAAATGTAACAAAAGTGTGTAAGCACAGCCAGTTCATTTAACAGAGAACCCTGTATCCAACTATGTCTATAGTCAAGAGGGCTATGGCAGAACAAGGCAAGCACAGAGTGGCATTTTGCAGATACATTTCTGCTGCTTCCAGCATATTTGCCCTTTCTCTGCCATACACACTCTCAGTACTTACAGTACCCCCAACAGTAAAATCCACAGATTAATAATCACACACTTCATGAAAACATACCTTCTTGTTATTTTTATTGTTTTAAACAGTTTAGTATGATTAGCAAATTAATTTACTATTCAATTCTACCAGATTATTTCCCATAGTATTATGAATGTGCTGAATACCACTAGCACTTTTATAGTTTTCTCCACCAGGAAAACCAACTATTCACACGTTTTCTCTGTTGACTACCTTTTAATTAGGTAGTAATACTCAGGGCACCATTCCTCTCAGATCTTGGCAACTTATTTTCTTTGTGAACTCTTGGTGAGAAATTGTAATAAAAGTCTTTTGCAAACCCAGGTAGATAATCTTAACCAAACCACCCTATCCATACATCCAGCAACATCTTCAAAGAGCTGCAGTAGACCTGAGAGACAACAGTTACCACTGCCTTTCCATAAACATCCTGTTCATTTCAAGCCAATGTACCTGTGTGTCAT